TGCTTGGATCTTCAGGTGCACAGTGAGCCAGGATGCATTTAAAAATCCAAGCAGGGAACCATTAATTAGTACTGAAAAGCTGAAGTGAGTTATGCTGCCTGCCTTCCAAACTTCTAAGTGTACAACAGGATTTTGGCTCCTACGTTAAGTTGCCAAGGAAATGAGAGGAGCAAAACCAAATCAGGTGATCTCTAAAAGTCCAAATAAATATTAGCTTTCTGGGATCCTTACAACAATCCAGAAAGTGAGGAGGTATTATCCTCAACATCATATTTCAAATGAGAGAGAGGTGAGGCCACGGCAGAGGTTAGATCTGAACTCAGGGCTTTGTGATTCATAGCTGCGTCTTCCAAGCACTAAGGCGCATCCCTCCTATTTCCAGTGTTTTAGGCTCAGCAGCCTGCAATGGTGGAAAACAGCATAGGAGCCCCACCCCAAGCCAGCCAAAGTCGAATGGGATCCAGGCAACATGCCTTGAACTTCACATGAACCAGAGGAGAAGGGAAACTTCAGCCTTCGAAATGGAATACCTCTCAGACTGTCGGGTAAGCGAGGTGCTTCTATCCCCGCTGGCCAGCATTCAAAAAAGCACAGCTGGGAGCGGCACACAGGGGCCTCCTCCTCCTCCTCAGCCTCTGAGTCACTGGGTAAGCGAGGCGCTTCTATCCCCGCTGGCCAGCGTTCAAAAAAGCACAGCTGGGAGCGGCACGCAGGGGCCTCCTCCTCCTCCTCCTCAGCCTCTGAGTCACCTGGCAACCTCCTTCAACCACCGATTAGCTGGAAAGTAAACCCACAGGTATGTGCCATCCTCATCGTAAGAGCCGCAGTGCTCATGGCAGAGAATGCACCGTCAGGTTAGCATCATGCAAGAAATGTTCACGTGCAGACATGCCCGGGATGATCTCAGCGAGGGACCTGACAGGGATGTCACTCCCATCAGAAGGATTAGCAAGATGGAAGCGGGTCCATGTGGCCAGCAGAAGGCGTGAGCCAAAGTCTGGCAGCAGGGATAACCTTGAATGCCTTTTAGTGGGAATGACTGACTGGTGGGCTACAGGTGACAACGGCCGACTCTCCAAGCAAAAGAAAGGCTTTTTTAAAAACGGTATTAAAAGCAGGATGAAGATTGCCCATAATCATAAAGCTGGATAAATATATTCACACTGTAAGAAGAAATACAGATCCTTACCTTTTTAACGGTTCACCAATCTTTGAGTTTTCTACGTAAACCCACCGAAAGCTATGCCTGTGTGCATTTAATTAACTGGCAAGTTGATATGATTTAAAGTAGGCACTTATAGCCCACCTTTCTAAGCACTGGTGCCAATTTGAGTTTCTTAACAAAAACAAAACAAAAACTTTAAAACTCATTATAATGATACAATCTGAAAATATGGCAAAGCACTCTATTCTGTCCAGTAACTGTGACGTTTTTCCTCTAGGGATGGGTGGCCTTCCAGGTGTATTTATCATCAGTGCCAGCCAGCATACCCAACAGTGAAGGATTATGGGAGTTGTAGTTCTGTAACATCTGAAAGGCTGCTTATTCCCAACCAGCCTAACCACCACTCTGATGGTGCCAGTTTTATTACAGGATCTACTCACTCACCAGGAGGCCATTTTGGGTGGCTAACGTATACCAGCTTAGTGAGTGGAGAACAGGGTGCCCCAAACGACATGGAAACAGGCAATCAGCTTTCATTCAGCCCACAGCAAGTATTGCTCCAAGACTGGTCCCCAGAGAACACCAGAATCTCCAGGGGTACCAATACTGAGTCGCATCCCTTCTGCTGCACACATTCAAACACTACTTTAGGCATCAGAGAAGACTTTCATATTGCTATCATTAGAATTTAAATGCCATGTCAACACACAAAAACACAACAGTGATGTCTCTGAGACACAGCACTACATCAGGATGCAAAGCCAAGGTATGGTCGTGCATTATCACCTGAGGGTGACCAAGAGAGACACAAGTTCGTGGTGAGGCCAGAATATAGCTGCTGCAGGAGAGACCTGTTTCTGCCCTCTGTGCCGCTATGATTGAAATGGCATAGCATCTCCTTCTCCAAACATCTGGATGACAGCTTGGAGCCCTGAGGTCTGACAGTGGAATCATGACAGGAATTTGCACATGGTTGTTGCATGATCTTTCATACTGCCTTCAAACCCCAGGATGGTGGCATCTGCTAATCAGAGCTCAGGGAAACCATTAAAAAAAAACCCACAGCTGCAGCATGCTGGCTGGGGGATTCTGGAAGCTGTAGTCCGAGCAGCTTTGCTGTTCTAGGCTTTGCTTCTAATAGTACCATTCCATTATGAAAAGGACACATAATGATGATCTTATCGCTTCAAAGGTTAAAGGGGTAATAGACATTAAAATTTCATGTACTATAGTTACCTATGTGGGAATCTGTAATTGTATGTAAATGCAAGAAACACTGTTTAGTTATCCTTCTAAGAAGATAAGAGCAAGGATTGGTTGCTCAACTGACCCTCACGATAGCCCTGCAAGGTAGGCTGGGGGGTAAACAGAGCGTAACTTTCACAACGCTATTTTATTTCTTTCATTATTTTTATTCCTTTCATGCTGGTCCAGCTCTTAGCTGAGATCATGCCCAGGTTCTCAACTACACCAGGGAATTTTTTTTGGGGGGGGGGTTAAACAGGAAGCTTATGGTCTATGCTACAGAAGCTTTCCCCCCTACACTATACTCCAAAAGCTTCTTACAGATGCTTTAGCAGGAAAAAGAAAAACTCCAGAAACCCAGGCTTGGCACCTCCCTCCAGTCAGGATCACAGGGTCCCCTTGTGAGCCTAAGGCCTCCCACGCAAGTTCTCTTTTATGTCCCAAAGATTTGTTGCCGCCCTGAGAAATCTTTGCTCTGTTGTGGTTGATCTCCTTACATGGAAATATGGATCATACGCCACAGTCAGGTTTGTATGTGATCTGCACTGAGCAATCCTCAAATGAAGAAAAAGTAAACAAATGAAGGTAGAATGAATAAATAAAATTCTACAGAAGATGAGGTAATTTGAAACCTGGGCCAGGAAAGCTCATCATCATCATCATCATCATCACCACAGTCATCATCATTAGCATGTGCCATCAAGGCAATCTGACATATGGGAACCCTTTCCCCAGATATGTGCAGTCCTCAGAAACGGTGAGTATTCCCTTCTGGGGGTGCCCTGGGACTGTGCAGCTTACCCAAAGCTACACAGGCAGAATCTTCTGGGATGCTCAGTGGGGGATCTCAACTCCTGACATCTGGCTCCACAGCCAGACGCCCAATCCACTGAGCTATCCAGTCACATTCAGTCGTCTTAACTAAGACATTAAGAATACAATCTAGGACTTCCTTGATGGAATGCATTTTTGCTATGTTATAGGTGCAGAACTGCATTTATTTCACTGCTGCATCACACAACACATACCCATCTATTTGCGTTGGCATAGCTGCAGGTCCCCGAAATCCCACCTCTTGGTCTCTGGGAATCTTGTCTAGATTCCCTGCCCCCCTCCCGGGTTCTAATATTTCCTCAAACATTGCCCATTAACCATCAAGCCAATCTTCATTGCCCGTAAACTTGACTTTAAACCAACCAAACAGCAGATGCTCTCAGAAAGCTGAGCTGTGTGCTGGGTATCATTTTTCTGCACTTGTGTGTGATGCAGCGGTGAAACAGATGCAGCTCTGCACCTATAACACAGCAGAGCAAAGGAATTCCATCAAGGAAGTCCTAGGTTGTATCCTTACTATCTTTACCCTCGGAATGTCCATCTCTCACATTTTGAAAGGTGGCTCTCTGCACTGACTCCCCTCTCCTGGACCAACCTGAGCACAGTGGCTTGGCTGTTCCCATAAGTGCCCCTTTGATTTTCTGCATGCTCACTCAAACGCCCAAGTTCCACATAGGAAATCAGTCCCTATCATCTTCTCCCACACTCCACAACACCATGCAACCTATTGGGATCTCCTGACCCCACCTAACCTCACAGTCATGCTTCCCTCCCCCCCAAAAAACACACTACATTCGTTTTCTTTTGTACCAGTTACATGAGGACAGAACAAAATTATGCCCATTTTCCATGATCATCTCAAATCCTGCTGTTGTTTACTGGTGTGTATAAATCCAGAGGCATCCCTGTGATTCAAGCCCTGTATCTATCTATCAAAAACTCATTGTGACCCTGCTCAATTCCAAAACAGTAATAGTTATTTTAAGCATTCCTGGCTGCACCCAGTTTGCCTGGGAAAATATCTGCAGCCTCGCCTAACGATATGCAAAATTTCACCCACATTTTCACCTGTCTTCCCTGGCACGTTCATGCATACATTTCAAGCTGGCTTTGTCAACTTAAAGAGAGTGTACCAGCATCAAAAGAAACCACCTCTGAATTTTTCTTCTCCTTCATTCTTCACCAGCATCAAAAGAAACCTCTGAATTTTTCTTCTCCTTCATTCTTTTACTCCTCATGCAAAGGACCAGCAATCACTGCCTCCTTCTCAAATCCGGTCCAAAACCAGGAACGTATGCTTGGAGGAGAATACCAACCCTCTAAAAATAACGCAAGAGGGATTTCTTTCTGTTTTCTTTTGACTTTCGGGAGGGGGGGTAAAGGAATGAATGAATTAAATCTCTAGACTTTTGCACGCCTCCCGGGAATGGGATCTATAGCAGAAGCAATCGGAGAGGAAGGGAGGGGAGGAATCCATCCTAGCTGGAGCATAAGGGAAGAAGCTGAGACGAAAGGCGAAAATGAATGGCTGGGGGGGACGGGAGGGACCCGGCTATGATCAATAGGAGGCAATGCAAAGAAATTTCGAAATCACTGCGAGCTCCCTGACCGCATCTCCCTTCCTTCCTTCCTCTTCCCCCCCCCCGCCTTTCGTTCCCCTTTTCGCGCCCATCATGCCTTCCCGTCCAGAGACCCGAGGCATCTCCGATCAAGGTAAAATCCTACAGTGAAGGAAACCCGAAAGAGCGGCGCTTACCCGAATTGTTATCCATGCTGACTCTTTTTGCTGGAGTCGCCTTGCTTCCGTTGTGAACGTCACCCGCTGCTCAGGTTGCAAAGGGACCCCCCGATCCGAGGCTGGCGCGTTTGCTAGCCTCTGTGTGTGTGTATGTATGTATGTATGCGTACGTGTGTGGTGTGTGTGTGCTCGTACGCTCGTATATAAATGAGGAGCTTGCGCTCCCTTCTAAAACAAGCCAAAAATCAAGAAAGCCAAAGGACCGTTCTGGAGCACGGAGGGAACTCCCTGCGGCTTTCCCCCTTCGCTCTCTCGCTCTCTCTCTCGCTCTCTCTGGGCTTGCTCTCCTGCTGGTGTGCGCGCCCGCTCGCCCCACAGCCGTGCAAAAACGGGTTTGAGGTTCCAGCAGGCAGCGGGTTGTTGCAATCGACGGCGACTTCCACGTGCTTTCGAGCAAAAAAAAAAAAGAGGCTCGGGCCAAAGAAGAGCGGGAGATTTCCCCCTCGCCCCCCGCACACACTCCCTCCTTCCTTCCCTTGATTGGTGTGCGTGTGTCAGATCTCTCCGTGGGTGAGGGCTTGCTGCTCCTGCCGCCGCCGCCGCCGCTTTTTTGCTGGTTCAACTCGGGGGGGATTAGCCGCTCCTGTTCGCTAGCCAGGAGGGAGCGCGGGGGAGCTGCTCGGCGCTGGCATGCCTCCGCGGCTGGCTCATGTGTAGCCTGCATGTGACAGAATCAAAGGCATGCCCCACTGACACACATTTCAGGCAGCCTGGCCGATGACATCAGCGCCGCGGCCGCACACGGGCGAGAGAGGCGGGGAACCAGGGCGGGCCCGGCGCGAGCGAGCGAGGGAAGCGGGCCTTCTGCCGGGCGGGCTTTGCCATATTGCAGCGTCGAGCGGGAGGAGGAAGGAGAGAGAGAAAGAGAGAGAGAGACATAAAGCCCCCTCCCTCCCTTCACCAGTATCAACCCCCCGCCGCCGNNNNAGCGCGCTCGCGCCCTCCATCTGCGTTCCCGAGCCCGGGTGGCTCGACAGCTCAGGGATCCCGTAGCACTGGGGCCGCTCCTCAGCAGAAACCTCTTCTACGATTCCACCCCCCACACACACACACACACCCGTATCAATTCGGGGTTGCCGCAGCTTTTCCCCCCGCCCACCTACTGGCTTGTAGGTGAGGAGCCCAGGGATTCTGTCCTCTTTCTCTCCCGCCTTTTGGGCAGCGCCATGGCAAGGAAAGCTACACTTGTTGAACAGCTGCCTCAGAGGCCCGTCTTTAGGGTTAATGCGAGAGGAAGCACTTTTCTCCATTGCAACACTTCGGTCTGTGGACACGACCCAGCTAAGGAGTGTGGCCTGCTACTGATTTCAAAGGGCCCCAGAAGCCATGCAGCTAAAAAGAGCTTAACTTGAGCTGGATCGTGGCCACTTTAGTCTCAATCAAATCTTGGCGCTGGCAAAAGGAAGCCAAGTTTTTTGTCCATCTGGCATTTTTCGCCAATTGTTGTTTAGTCGTTAAAGTCGTGTCCGACTCTTCGTGACCCCATGGACCAGAGCACGCCAGGCCCTCCGTCTTCCACTGGCTCCCGGAGTTGAATCAAATTCATGTTGGTAGCTTCGATGACACTGTCCAGCCATCTCGTCACCTGTCGTCCCCTTCTCCTCTTGCCTTCACACTTTCCTAACATCAGTGTCTTTTCCAAGGAGTCTTCTCATGAGATGGCCAGAGTATTGGAGCCACAGCTTCAGGATCTGTCCTTCCAGTGAGCACTCAGGGTTGATTTCCTTCAGAGTGGATAGGTTTGTTCTCCTTGCAGTCCAGGGAACTTTCAAGAGTCTCCTCACGCACCACAATTCAAAAGCATCAATTCTTCAGTGGTCAGCTTTTATGGTCCAGCTCTCACTTCCATACATCACTACTGGAAAAACCATAACTGGAAAAACCATAACTTTGACTATAACTTTGTTGGCAAGGTGATGTCTCTGCTTTTTAAATTGCTGTCTAGGTTTGTCGGCACTTTCCACCCAAGAAGCAAGTGTCTTTTAATTTCATGGCTGCTGTCTCTATCTGCAGTGATCATGGAGCCCAAGAAAGTAAAATCTCACTGCCTCCATGTCTTCCCCTTCTATTTGCCAGAAGGTGATGGGACCAGTGGTCATGATCTTGGGGGTGGGGGGTTATGTTGAGCTTCAGACCATTTTTGGCACTCTGCTCTCTCACCCTCATTAATTTTATTTATTGATTGATTTGATTTGATTTGATTTGTACCCCACCTATCTGGACTACCAGACCACTCTAGGCGGCTTCCAATACAAAATAAAGCTATAAAAGACAATAAAAATACAAAAATGTGCATAATCATCGAATAACAAGGTTCTTTAATTCTCCCTCACTTTCTGCCATCAGAGTGGTATCATCTGCATATCTGAGGTTGCTGATATTTCTTCCGGCAGTCTTAATTCCGGCTTGGGATTTCTCCAGTCCAGCCTTTCGCCTGATGTATTCTGCATAGACGGTAAATATGTAGGGAGACAATATACAGCCTTGTCGTACTCCTTTCCCAATTTTGAACCAATCAGTTTTCCATATCCAGTTCTAACTGGCTTCCTGTCCCACATATAGATTTCTCAGTAGAGAGATAAGGTGGTCAGGCACTCCCATTTCTTTAAGAACTTGCCATAGTTTGTTGTGGTCAACACAGTCAAAGGCTTTTGCATAGTCAATGAAGCAGAAGTAGATGTTTTTGGTTTTCTCCATAATCCAGTGCATGTTAGCAATTTGGTCTCTAATTCCTCTTCCCATTCAAAATCCAGCTTGTACTTCTGGGAGTTCTTGGTCCACATACTGCTGAAGCCTACCTTGTAGGATTTTGAGCATAACCTTGCTAGCGTGTGAAATGACGCGGGTGGCAACTTCCCAGGCTATTGTCAACAGAGGAATGCGCTTGTGTCCTCCCTCTGTTTTATTATTATTTTTTTTTTGGCCAATAGGTACATGTAATAACATCTGCATGTACAGGCTGCTTGTTTTTATGCCTGCTGCAGTTAACTTCCAGACAGAGAGAGGATTAGTTAGGTTCCATTTATACACTCATTTCTCTGGGAAGAAACTCCATTAAATGTTTGGATAGGTAGTGTGGTTTACTACCGTAGTCAATGTTAAATTAAGATTTGGGAGATCCAGTCTCAAGTCTTCAGTGAATCCCCAGTAAACTGACTGGGCAAGCCTAATCTACCTCACAGGGATGGTGTGAAAGAAGAAGAGTGCCACATACTGTATGCTGGCTTGAGCTTACTGGAAGAAAGACTGACTTTTTAAAAATGTAACTAATGTGCAATGTACAGTATACAATTTCAGTCTTCAGCAAGCTTGGTTTTATCAAGTTGGGAGTTCAAAGACTGAAATAATGTATGCAATTTGCATTTTTCCATTTCTCAAGAGCTCAGGGTAGGTAACAACAGGCACATAATGAAACATGCACTTAGATGCATCCATTCGGACTTAATGCAACCCTTTCCGGTACAGTATTTTCAAGGCACAGAGTACCCAGAAGCGGTTTGCTATCCCCTTCTATTGGGGCACGTTTGGGACTGTGCAGCTTGGCCAAGGCTACTGGGGCACGTTTGGGATTGTGCAGCTTGGCCAACGCTACACAGGCTGTCTCTTCTCCACAGAGGCACAGTGGGGATGGAGCTCTCATACCTGCGTAGCTCACTGATCTATTCAGCCATCATTCAGATACATTACAGAAGATGAAACTGCCCTGCCCTTGCTGGTTCTTGGTGTGTCAATGCCAAGAGGCTTGCGAAGTGCTTCCACGATGTATCCCTCATGGAGGCCTTTGTTAAGGAAAGAGAGATTCAGAACCAGGCCATTTTAAGTTGTCCCAATTCCTGTGAATGCTCTATTTTGGGAGCTGAATGTAGAGCACAAAGACTGCAGTTCACATAAATCCCAGGGGAATAAAATACATTTCTTTTTCTTACCCCTCCACTCCCAAACACAAGAACCTAAAAGCAGTCCACCTCAGTCAAGCCAAAGGGCTGTCTTCGGTGCCATCACCCTGTTTCTGGCGGAGGCCTGCTTGTGAACACACCTGCTTTTGTTCTCTGGCCACTGGTGCCCAGTGGCACAGATGACCTCTTAAGGTGCAGAGTCATGACTAACAGCTCAACAGATCTATACACGCCTTTGGATGCTTCCAGATGAGGCTGTCACTATGCTACTTCCTTCACAGGGCATCCAGACATTATCATGTTCCACTGATAACCCCTAACACACTTTTATCTTTTCTCTCATTAAGCAGAGAAAGAGCTCCCATTTCTTTTGACCTGCAGCCCTTCATGTGAAAACATCCTCTCTTTCATTCCCAGCCATTTTTCACATCCTAATGCTCAAACACAATACATGTTCTCTTTAAACGAAGAAACAGTTCGTTGTTTCCCCTCACCTCCTTTTTTCCCCTCCTCACCTACGGATGGAATAGTTAAAACTAAGAAATGTGTGCAAGCCGGGAGTTTATCCGCCACCAGGGCGCAGAGAAAGGCCCTGCTCAATATGAAACTGGGACAGCAGCTATTAATAGGACTACATTTGTACTTTGAGAAACTGGGACAGTGCAGTGCACTATTAACATACTGCCAAGACAAAAGTTTAAAGAGAGCGACAGAAGGTGGCATCTGGGGCTATTGCCCACAGTGGGGGAGTTGGACACTGGCCATTCATTTCCGTTGCCCAAGTCCAATCCTCCTTAAAGATCTTCTGCACGAGAAACAAAGCATCAGATTGTGTGTCAGGCACTGACACAGTGCACGGGAACATTTGGTCCAGAGTTGTGCCAAAGGAGCATCAATCATCAGCAGTGCAGGAGAAAAAGCCTCTACATGGCCCAGTAGAAGAACATTAAAGGGCTTAGCCGATAAGGCCATACAGTAGCTGGGGAAACAGAAATGGTCCTATGGTAGGGATAATGAAACCTCAGTACTGTACTTCAAACATTTTGCCCTAGAACTCCCACCAGTCTCAACAAGACCGAAAACTGCGGATTCTGTGAAGTGGTAGCCCAAAATATTTGGCAGGGTTGTGGCTCAATACTCAAAAGTTTCTTCTTTAAATACTGGATCAAATTATGCCATCTTCCAATCAGTTTCTATTATGGGCAACAATTCTGTCTCTGCACTATGTGTGATGAGAGCATCCAGTCATTCCTGTGGTAAAACTCAGCAAAATTACGGGGTCTTCACAGAAAACTACGCTGGCTAGACAGCTCAGTGAGTTAGGTATCTGGCTGCGGAGTCAGAGATGAGGAGTTCAATTCCCCACTGTGCCTCCAGGGAAAATAGCCAGCCCATGTGTGTGGCCTTAGATAAACTGCACAGTCCCAGGATGACCCCAGAAGAAGAGAATGATAAACCACATCTGATTACTTTCTACCTGGAAAAATACCGGATTGCTATAAGTCAGAATTGATTTGATGGCACATGATTATTATCCCAGAAGCCTCTGTTGTTGTTGTTTCTCTGCAGAAGTTGTTGGTCTGAGTGCATCTCCTTTCAACCAAGAGCCGTCGCTTAAAGAATAGAGGGAAATTTCTTTTTATACTTTCTTGTTTGTCCCTCTGGCTAGCCCAATATAATGTCCTCTGTTGACCGCCCTCTTGGGTCTCACTAGACAGCTTTCTTTTTGTGTGCTGTCTGTGTCGAAGAGACTTAAACACATGAAAAGAAAACCTGGGCATGTGCCGTATAAATTTATTAGCTTTATATTTCACTTTCCTCTAGT